AAAAACGTTTGCCAGGAACAAAATTATTTTAWAGAAGGAAGGTCGTCACATTTTCTTGTGAGATTCTCAACCATGTAGCTCAAAATCCCTTTCCCAGGAAAACAAATAGTACAAGAACAGTTATTTAGAAGAACAGACCCCTCTGGCTTCTCCTGCAAGCTATTCAGGGATTGCCACAACGATTAGAGATCAAAACTCTCGTKACAGATTGTTGTCTGGGATCGGGGATCGCCTAGATAACTATGGACTTCGTTAATACCCGATATTATTACTGGCGATGCAAGATAACATTTTGACAACACCCTGTCTTGACAAATGAGCAAGCTTTATCTTCAACACAGTTTTACCTTTGCCAATGCACAAGTAATTTCTTTAAATCCTGCTGGTCTGTCATCCGGCTTCTCTGACAAGCAGGCATGCATAAGCTCATACATTGARGCAGGACAACCCCGCGGMTTATSGGGGATGTSATTTRAATTCTCATTTTGACAAGCAAGTACCTGCARAACATATCTAATGTTGGACATTTTACAATTCAAAATTAATTTYTAACTGACAACTGGGTTGCAGACGAAGTTGATTTTAGTAAAACTCATTTCAAAGCTTAGTAATTGAATGTTACTTTCTTAAGTATCTTACTCAGTTAAGTAATGCGCGTGCTTTTTATTGTTTTTCAGAATATGCTGCTGTTTTTTTTTTTGGGGGGGGGGGGATAATATTGTACCTTGTTTTTCCCTATGTCTTCTCCAAATGTCATCATTTCCCACAAAACAACTCCATAGCTGTACACATCTGATTTAATGGTGGGTATTTGGTTCTGAATTACTTCTGGCGCAGACCTTAGGGAATGAACAACAAGCACATACGGTTTTATAATTGGCAYTGCGATTATACAAACAACTTTTAAGACGTTTAAAATCTTTACCATGGCTGCCTTTGACCTAGAGCGTTTGGTATGGCAAAATCGCACCTGATTCGCACCTGTAATGAGAAGATAAGTTTTCGTCAAAGGCAGGTCAGAGGTCTAGCATATTCAAACTATATATTTTGGGAAACAAGGAATTATAGGACTCAGAAAATGATGTACTGGAAGTATTCTTACTAAAACGAGAATGTAAACAATAGCCAAGGCAACAACTAAGCCCAATAAAAGTGGCAAAACAAAGTCTAGGGATTTTGACCTACCAAATTTTTATCAACAACTAAAACATCTTTTGCGGCAAGATTACAATGTACTTGTGCTTYGTTAGCTAAGTAGTCCATTCCATGAGATATCTGCACTGCAAAGTCCTTAAGTCGCGCGTGTTGACAGAAGAATTTCCTTTGGTTTGGATCTCTCATGACGTTTTTAAGGGAGCCGTGTCGTGCATACTCCATTACCTTCAAAAAAAAAAACAAACGCTTTAATCTTAGAAAGTGTYCTTGAAAACAATATGAAATGGAAAGTTCTTTTTCTCGAATTCATAATCAAAGAAATTCAGGAAAATCTAAAAATCGCTTCAGTAACCGTGTTTTGGTGCTATGATCCAGTGGTCAAGCATTTCCATGAATTGACCAGATTTTGCTATGAAACTATAAAATAATTATCCATGAATCAGACATTAGCTATAGATGACTCGCAATTCAAAATCAATCGGCTATTGGAATAGGGGAGAGAGGAAAAGGGGGAAATTGGAAAAGGGTGAAGGGGGAAAGGGGAAATGGGCAAAGGCAGAAAGGGACAGAGGGGCAAAGTGGGAAGGAAGGGGGAAGGGGGCTTCAGGGGTATTCTAGAAAAATCACTTGATATATATACTAAAATGATAGAACAACGAATAATTTATTTTTACCAATTTTACATCTTTGTCGACACCACAAATCCCGTAAAACTTGATAATGTGATCATTTTTAAGTCTGGACATGTTTGAAGCTTCTTCTAGTATGTTGAGATCTTTGCGGACTTCTTCTTTAAGGCACTTGATAGCAACATGCTGTCAAAGACACAAAAAGATGACATAAAAAACGGCATACGAAAACTATAGTATACACACCGTATTGAAAAGCCTGGTCGGAAAGCTAACACAGAACGGGAGCATGGGAAAGCAAGTTTTACCAAAAGAATATTGTCTGCACTGAATAAAACGACCTTCTCTTCGAGTTACGTTATAATGCAGCTTGTTTAAGTGTTTTTAGGGATCTCTGAGTACTTTGTGAATCTCCTTTGATGTTAGCTTTGATGATGTCACCAACAACCTTAATTCAATATGTCGCATTCTTCAGTTATTTTTTATTCGATCTTTCTTTTAATGCTTGAAAATAAAGATACATCTTAATATCAGCAAAAACGTACTCTTTATTATCCCTTTATATTCTATGAATGGAGATACTGTAAGATTCGACCTTTAAACCGATGGATGGAAACGGATTGCGAATGAATATGTAAAAGTCACCTCATTTTCCATATATGAAATATCTAATACACGACCGCATTGAATGCTGGTGGGCCATGCTCACATTAAAGCCTAACCCACGAGGACAAAATATATGATCCCCTTACCCTTTGTATAGCATTGTAAAATTATGTACGCTCCGAGCCTCTTGTCCAATGTTGCATGGAAGTGTGGAATGTAATTATACCATCAAAGGTCAACATTGACCAGGTATCTGGGTATATATGCATCTAGTTGCTATAAGTTTGAAAACCTATTGCAATAGCCGATTTGCATTATGGCGTCATTTACTNGTGTGTTGATGCTATAATTCAGTGGTCAAACATTTCCATGAATTCACCAGCTTTTGCTTTGAAACTATAAAATAATTATCCATGAATTTGAGAGGTTTGATCAGCTATAGATGACTCGCAATTCAAGTATTGGAATAGGGGGAGGGGAAAAGTGGAAAAGGAGGTAGGGGAAAGGGGGAAGAGGGGAAAGGGGGAAAAGGGCAGAGGGGCAAAGTGGAAAGGTAGGGGGGGATGTAGGGGTGTGCTAGAAAAATCACTTGATATATACATTAACATGAGAGAACAACAAATGATTAATTTTACCAATTTCACATCTTTGTCGACACCACAAATCCCGTAAAACTTCATAATGTGATCATTTTTAAGTCTGGACATGTTTGAAGCTGATTCTAGTATGTTGAGATCTTTGCGGACTTCTTCTTTAAGGCACTTGATAGCAACATGCTGTCAAAGACATAAAAAGACATTCTAAAATACTTAGGATACTACGCGCGCTGTGATTGGTCGAAAACCATGTTTGATTACAGTATCAAAACACGCTCGCGCGCGTCAAAAGTTTTTTCTATTCTTTTAATTTTAGAAAAGAAATAAAAGACGGAATTCCGTGTTTGATACTCTGATCAAAACACTTGGGATGTAGGGAGAGCACTCGAAAAGCTGGAAACCACTCCGCTACGCGTCGTGGTTTCCTACGCTTCTCTCGTGCTCTCCCTACATCCCGCGTGTTTTGATCAGAGTATCAAACACGGAATTTCGTCTTTTATTCCTTAAATAAAAAACGGCATACGAAAACTATAGTATACACACTGTATTGAAAAGCCTGGTCGGAAAGCTAACACCAAAAGGGTGCATGGGAAAGCAAGTTTTACCAAAAGAATATTGTCTGCACTGAATAAAACGACCTTCTCTTCGAGTTACGTTATAATGCAGCGTGTTTAAGTGTTTTTTGGGATCTCTGAGTACTTTGTGAATCTCCTTTGATGTTAGCTTTGATGATGTCACCGACAACCTTAATTTAATATGGCGCATTCTTCAGTTATTTTTTATAGATCTTTCAACCACAACTGCCCTCGGCTACAAAGGTGGACAAACAATGTAGACATTCATAGTGTACTTTGCCACATCAACCTTAGTGTTTAATAAAATAAAACCTGGCTTTCGACCTACGCGGTCATCTTCAGGGTTACAATGAATCTCGTTACAATGACATAAAAACTTCACCATCAAAACAAAGAGGCGTTCATAAGCTATGACGTTATACAAGCGCGCGCAGCAAATCAATCGCCTAGCAATTTTAGGTACTAAAAGGTAGAGTTCTACCACTGTCTCTATTAAATAAAATGTTCTTTCTTCTGGAGACGCGGAATGCCTCTTCCCAATGGTCATTTTTGGAACATGGTCCACMAGCATCCCTTTCGAGCTTTTGCTAATGCTTGAAAATAAAGATACATCTTAATATCAGCAAAAACGTACTCTTTATTATCCCTTTATATTCTATGAATNATAGGCGATATGCATTATGGCGTCATTTACTACAACTACCAGAATGCTTTGCCAACTTTCTTTTGTAATGCAATTAGTGCCAATTGTTTTATTAATCTCCAAGGGGATTAAAAATCTGAATAACAATGAAAATGCGCAAGGCTCTCTGGTAGTTGTAGTAAAGTTGCGCCATAATGCAAATGACCTATTCAATCTGTCAAAGCTCTTGATGTAAATGACAGTCAACTCAAACTTGAACGCGATGTAAATGAGGCTATTTAAATAGAGCGATATTCATTCAGCGATATGGCAAAGCAATAAATTGAAGAAAATAYTACCCTAGCAGAACATAAAAACTTTCATATTAAGCCACAAATTTACCTGATTTTTATTTTTGACTCTCCATATTCCAAAGTTAACATTYGCATAAAAACCAGTCCCTATAAGACATTGCTGTCCAAGGTCCTTGTGATCGATCACCAAACATCCATTTTCTGGAACTGAGGCTTGAGTGTCCACACTCGGAGTTTGCTGCAATTGGAATAATCAAAATTGCTCCCGCTTCGKGTGAATTATTTTGTTTTGACTGTGTTTGTTAACAATTTTATTCAATAAATGTTTTTTTTCATAATTTGGACCCAAATTAAACGTTTAACTAAAGTAGTTAAATGCACAGGTATGGTGTGTAAGAACTGGCTTCTAGAATGAACAGTTCATAAAAATATATAATATAATAAAAGTAACAAAATATTCTTGACATATAAAATTTTGCATAATTTGTTTAATAAGTAACCATATAGTGAACTCTCTGGATGTCAAACGTTGTCAGTCGCCGGTCGCTATCATTAGAAAACTACTTATCGTTCATTTCTTATGAATTCGCTGCAATCCTAAATTGAATTTGTTTAATTTAAGTCGCTTTTCATTTTAAAATAATAATATTAATATTAATAAAAACAATAATTTGATATCGNTTAACATTGCAATGATATCTTGACCGAGTCTACATAAAAATCTGGCGCTTCTAAAAAAACTGACATCATGGAGGAGACCCATCCAGGATAAGATCGAAAAGACAACAAACTTCACATGACGCTAAACTGGTTTCTTAGTTTCTAATTATGTGACATATTTCGTCTATTTCACTGATTTAATGTCGCGCTAAATACCCTTCATGACAATTTCTGGAAAACATCATGTGCTCGTTGGCACTTAGCGGTAGCTATGACTAGTATAATAAAAGTAACAAAATATTATTGACAACATAAAATTTTGCATAATTTTTTTAATAAGTAACCATATAGTGAACTCTCTGGATGTCAAACGTTGTCAGTCGCCGGTCGCTATCATTAGAAAACTACTTATCGTTCATTTCTTATGAATTCGCTGCAATCCTAAATTGAATTTGTTTAATTTAAGTCGCTTTTCATTTTAAAATAATAATATTAATATTAATAAAAACAATAATTTGATATCGCCTGATAAATCGATGTTTTATGTACGTATGCGGAAATAAAACGGTGGTAAATATAGTACTTAATACAGACTATTAGAGTTGTCTATAATTACAGACATGTGACAGAAGTGTAAGCAAAGAGTTCTTATACAATTAAAATTCAATATAAATACAACTCGAATAAGCAATGAGTTGTCTTCATACCCATACTCACTCCTAAGCAAGGTCGCATATATAAATATACCCTAGTTAAAATGACTATCAAATAAATTTATAAATCCCAATTTGTCTCCTATACTAAAGCCGTCTTTAAAAGGATATAATATATGTATTTTACCTTAAAAGATTTAGACTTCGTTGTTCTTTTCATTTCGGTTGATTTCAGCTAAGACGACTCCGATTGCAGGCGTCCACGGCTTTTACACAAATTAAATTCGGTTCAAWGATAGAACAAAGTCACGCACGACTTGATATCTTAAAATTCTAAAATGTAAAAGTCCTGGTTTAAAAGATGTRTTAAGAATTTATACTCTGACAGGTTTAAAAACAAGATCCTGTTATTCTGGGATTTTTTCGGGGGAATTCCCGAGCCATTGACGTCAGAGTATGTTTACTTAGTAAAGCAGATCCGGATTTCAAGCCGAGTGGGGACTGGGCAAAATCCCCTAATTGGATTATCATGACATAAGACTTACATAGAAAGAAAGCCCTTGTTGGGAAATGCAAAATTACAAAATCTGGCGTCAATCAGTTCAAGAGTGAACGAGTTACGGCCTTTCAAATATTCTAAAATTTCCAAAGAAATGTATATGGGAAGCCCTGAGTGTGTCCGCATTTTGACCATTTTCGATTCCGGACACATTCGCAAGATCACATACATTTCTTTGGAAATTTTAGAATATTTGAAATGCTGTAACTCGTTCACTATTGAACTGATTTACATCGAATTTTGGAACTTTGCATTTCTCAACAAGGGCTTTCTTTTTATGTAAGTCTTATGTCATGACTATCCAATTAGGGGATTTTGACCAGTACTCACTCGGTTTGAAATCCGGATCTGCTTTACTAAGTAAACATACTCTGACGTCAATGGCTCGGGAATTCCCCTGAATTGACAACGAATTGAAAACGTCAATCACAGCGCTGATTTAAACCAATCAGGAAGCGCGGCTTCTGGAGGCCGYGAGTACACGATTTAGCGGCTCGTTCTGGCAGGCTCTCTTTTTTTTCGCTCCGCTTCCCCAACCCCTCCCCTTCCGTTTTCTCCCTCCCCACTCCCCTAGAGCCGCCACGCAGGCTACATTTGGCAGAAAATGGGTCAATTGTGATGATTTTGATGGACTATAGTCCATGCTTTTTGGTCGAAAATGGGTCATTTTGGATGATTTTGATGGGCTACAGTCCATGTTTTTGGGTCAACAATAAGTCATTTTTGATGATTTTGATGGGCTATAGTCCATGCCTTTTGGTCGAAAAGGAGTTATATTCGATGATTTTGATGGCCTATAACCCATGCTTTTTCGTCGAAAATGGGTCATTTTTTATGTTTTTCATGGGCTATAGCATATGGCTTTTGGTCGAAAATGCGTCAATTTTGATGATTTTGATGGCCTATAGCCCATGCTTGGTCAAAAATTGGACATTTTTTATGTTTTTGATGGGCTATAGCCCAAGCTTTTTGGTCGAAAAAGGGTCATTTTCGGTGATTTTAATGTGCTATAGCCCATGCTTTTTGGTCGAAAATGGGTCAATTTTTGATAATTTTCATGGGTTATAGCCCATGGCTTTTGGTCGAAAATAGGTCAATTTTGATGATTTTTGATGATTTTTGATGATTTTGATGAGCTATAGACTATGCTTTTTAACAAAAATGACACATTTTCGACCAAAAAGAATGGGCTATAACCCATGAAAATCATAAAAAAACATTTTCGACCAAAAAGAATGGTCTATAGCCCATCAAAAACATCAAAAATGATCAATTTTCGAATAAAAAGCATGGACGATGGCCCATCAAAATCATTTAAAATGACCCATTCTCGACCAAAAAGCATGGGCTATAGACCACCAAAATGACCAAATATGGACTATTTTTGATCAAAATGCATGGGCTAT